GAAACTAGTAGTTGTAAGTAGGACCTGAAAAAAATTTCAGGCCCGTACGGGATTTGAACCCATGACCTCTGCGATACCGGTGCAGCGCTCTACCAATTGAGCTAACAAGCCAACTGGGAGCTGGTCAATGAGTTTCAGTAGTGTTCTTAGCTGCGAGGATCTTCTAATTTCATCTTTCCACCGCAGTGCAAATATGTGAATTTTCATATATCTAAATCTTCATTCACTCGGATGTTTATTTGTACCCAATTCATTGATCAGCTCCCAGTTGGCTTGTTAGCTCAATTGGTAGAGCGCTGCACCGGTATCGCAGAGGTCATGGGTTCAAATCCCGTACGGGCCTGAAATTTTTTTCAGGTCCTACTTACAACTACTAGTTTCAGTAGTGTTCTTAGCTGCGAGGATCTTCTAATTTCATCTTTCCACCGCAGTGCAAATATGTGAATTTTTTGTTTCTGTTTCAGGTGGTAACACTGTGGTATCGGGCTCCAGAGGTTCTTCTTCATTCTAGTTATGCCACAGCTGTGGATATTTGGAGTGTTGGATGCATTATGGCTGAACTTTATAACAGAAAACCACTGTTTGAAGGAAAATCTGATGTAGACCAGCTTCACAAAATATTTAGGTAAACCATTAGTATAGAAAAATATTACGCTGTAACCCATGGTGAATTTTTTTGTGCAAAGGTATCACTGTCATGCTCGAGAAAACAGATGTTTTTTGAGAGAAGGTTTGCAGTATACTTCAATGAACTAGTGGACAGAAGGCTTAAAAAAAACAGTTTGCTTCTTATTTCAAATCAAATATCACTTTATCACCTGAGACATGTTAAAATTACATGTTTATGACCAATACAGTGCACTGTGTCCAGGTTGTTACATGATGAGGAATTTACCATAAATTTGTACTCTGTTTTGTCATCTCTTTCTGCAGCCTTTTTTCTTCCATTTTTGTCTGAAGTACCAACTTGGATGTTTTTCCTTTTGCTATTACACCTATATCAAATAAAATGTACAGTAGTTTCCTCAGAGTTACCATCAGATTGAGCTAATTTAAAATATGACAATATTGCCCCTTAAAAGTGGTATGCTTCGGCAAACTGCAGTTACTGTAGTGGTTTCTGATTCAGCAAGGAAGCTGTGTCATTCAAACTCCATTCTATCACTGAATTTCTTTCATGATCTTTGATGAACGTACAGTGTTCTAGGAACTCCATTGCAGAATGACTGGCCATCAAGTGTTTCTCTTCAGAGGTCATCATTCCCAAGATATGTTTCATTCTCACTTGCTGAGTTAATACCAGAGATGTGCGAGAGTGGAACCAACTTACTCAAGGTGAGATACATGGGTATACCAATCACTAAATAAACTCTTACTGGTTCATGTACTGTACATGAAGAATTTGACAAAATTCTGTGGTTTAGTTGCAATGGACTACAGAAGTATTCCATCCAGGAGGAGTAGATCTACTCTGTCTCTTCTTGCTGAGGAAACTGGGAATAAGAAGTTACAGTAAACCTCTAGTACCTGCACCTTGATATTAACTGTAGAGATGTAGTATTTTGTTGGTTGAAACATGAAGATCCACTGTTGGCATTCCAGCTATGCAATGTTATTGGATTACAACATATAAAAGCGATTCTGTACAAAGGAAAATGTCACAAGAAGTCTGCATGCAGTGACAGCTCAAAGTAAAATCAAGCACATCATCGAAACTACAAGATAACTTGTAATCACATCATGACTGGTTTTAGTTTTGCATCTGATTGGTTGAGAGGGTGTATAAGTTCTTGACCAATCACAAAGAAAAGTAATTAGCAGAAAGCAGAACCAATGCAATCATGAATTACTTTTGACACTGAGCTGAAGACTACTCTTAATACTTATATATATAAAAATAATTTTTTTTTTTTCAGAGAATACTAATCTTCAATCCACAAAAGAGAATCGGAGCTTTAGATGCTCTCCAACATGAGTACTTCAGAGAATTCCATGATGGCAACAAGGAAAACACACAAGGTAGTTATCAAAATATGACCAGACAAAGGGAAAGCATGCCTGCTCTCTGACAAGTTTTTCAAGTGAGGTTTGAGAAGGTTATCATGGAAAGAAATTGCAACCAAATTACATGTAACCTCGTGTGTTTTGAAATGGTCTTGTTTGTCACACACTGCAAGATATTCCAACAAAATTGAAATATTACAGACAGAAAATCTAAATTAACTGGTAAGAGATTTTTTCTAGCTCAAAAGAATTAGCTATTATTGTTGAAAGTGTGTAATATATTTACAAGTATTAAATAAAGTAGCCTAATAAGCAATGTATCAATATCGAGTGTGCCAACTTTGCTTGTTTTTTGAAGTGAGGTGCCCGTACAATTTCTATTATAATTATACTGAGGACAGAAAATCATTAGGTCATTTTCTAGTATTTTTGGGAGAAAAAATTTAGTATAATTGTTACTAATTCTCACGTGACTTATTTATAAATATTTCTAGATTTTCACAATTCAAACAAAAAGGATGCCAGAACTAAACTACAGCGAAAAATTAACCATGCATTAATTTTTTTTGCACAGTTATTAGAACAATGCGTTTTGATGAAAAGAATTATTATGCTGTTAGTTTGACTTCCTTTAGTGCAATTTACAGCCAACCCAAAATCTTTGTGGTTTTTTGTGAAATAAATTGATTGTGAAAATTGGTAACAATAAGGTGACTATTTTTGAAAAGGCCTTCTTGATATTTTATGAACAGGGGTTCAACAGGCCTTATTTCACAACTTACTAGTCTAAGAACTAAAATACTGTTTAAAAGGACAAGTGAAGGGGTGCAACATCAAGTTAATTTATACTAGGAGAGTGCTTTATCTACAACTTTTTAAAACTAGAGAAAATGAGAAAAATGTTTCAGATTATGAAGTCATTGTGATTATTTATTTGAGGATACCAAAACAGCTATCAAGAAGTGTCATTCATGTTAATTAATGTGATGACAAGTAGTCCCTACTTATTATTCTGCTGTTTTTCCATCAGTCTCTTTCTTAGCTGTGTATATATAGTTAGAATAAGTTTTAGTGTAGTGTTAGCTGTAGGTGATTGTTGAAGTAAATTGATAAATCCTTTACACTTTACCATCAGTTTGCATATTTGCCAAACTGTTCTCTATACATTTCCTAAGGTGCTGACAAGGAGAATTTGTTTAACAATCAAAGGCTTCTTAAGTTAGTGATCATTTCCTTTGTTCTAGTGGCCTTAAGGAGTGATTTAAAGGGTGGTATTGTTGGGAGAGATGAAATGCTGGTCACTACTATGAGTTAACCCTTAACTCCCATGAGTGACCATGACAGAATTTCTGTTTACAATACCAACACAATATCAACCAGATAAGTGATGAGAATAAAGAAAAATATCATTTTGGAAATAAATAGTTGATCCCATACAAAATTCTCAGAACTAACATTATGAGAATTGTATGGTTGACAGATTGGAGAATGACAAATTTTATCTAGGAGTTAAAGGGTTAATCAGTTTTAGTCTTTTTGAAGATCATCTACATAAAACCTTGTAGAGTAAGTATTGAATACTGTCTTAAATTTAAAGAGAAAGTGATTATTAATTGGGTGTTGGAAGAAAATCCCACAAGATATGGCATTAGCTGTCATTGCACATCTAACCATAGTATTTATGACTTAAAACACCATCAACACTTTTTTTATAAGCTATACAGTTTTCAAGGTACTCATTATGCAGTATTCAATTTCCATATCATCTGTGTGACCAATCATGTAGGAGTTTTCTCAGTTTTCACAAAACTTCATCTTTTGTATCAAAAGGTTCTTGTAACCTCTATTTTGGTGTGATGGTAATATATATTACAAAGTTTGTCAAGAAGACTAATTTACCATGTATGACCTATGATTTTTTTTAATTTTATGGTTTTTGATTGGTTCCACAAGAATTTGTTCAAAGAATTTTTGAATCCAGAGAATGCCATAGTTGGCTTATACTGAGAGTGACTTCATCACCAATAGAGGTGAAAAAAAAAATGTTACTGGAGGATTCTAGCTATGGTTAAGTGCTTCCTTAGTGGTCAAGTTAATTTCCAAAATTTGTTGTGTGTTGTGTGATGACTTGACCACTTGGTAGGAAATGCAAGATTCTTGTTGAAATTTCTGTACATGTACTTTTTAGATGAGATTAATGTGATGAACAATCTTCTCTCAAAAAGAGCACAATACAATGTACATGTTTAGTTTTCAGTTTTTTTAGGGTTTAAAGGGTTATGTTTCCCTTGAATTGATAATCATGTGGTGTGATTGCTCAGTGACTGATGTTCCAAAAAATTGAGTGGAAGGTTTGACTCAGAGGATGGCAAGAAACAGTCAATTTCAATAGTACTGTACTCTCAGTTGGATAATTACACAACATGATCACCTCTTCCTACCATATGGATCAATTAAGCTGCATGATTTCTGAATTAATCATAACCATTGCAATTTCCTCAAATGTGATTGGTGCATCAGCTGCTTCATTTTTCACTAATTCTGTACAATTGTAATCAGACAGGGAAATAGGAGAGTTGGCTGTAATTGAACACCCATAATCGAACAGTTAAAGCAGCCAATCAAACTATGTCCACTCAGCTAAATCTACCAATCACAGAATTGATCACAATAACCATAGCAACCACCACTTATCCAAAGAAAAAACAAGGCAAAATGGAGGAATATTTAACTAAAGACATTGTCTCCACTAGAGATATTTGTTCTAGGTGTATTTTTTTTTTTCAGAAATTGAAATGGTTAAGATTAATTAGTGACAGGATTTCTTGTCGTCCAATTCTGTCAGTAATCATACCCATGATAAACAAATCAGACTCCTGCTTCATGGTTGTCCAATTTTGCTAGTCACTCATATGATTACAGACCGAATTGGACTCCACTCGGTCCTATTACTACTATGAATAAAGTGTTACTAAAGAATGAGCCACTGAAGAAAGTTCCACTTGGTAGTGCTTTATTACTGTGTTAAGAAATCTCAGATGCATGTGGAGTGTATGTGTCTGGTGACCATTAAAATTGTTATCAAAGGACATTTATGTCAGGTAGTAAATTTTCCATAAAATCTCACTACAGGAGTGTTGTGTTCTGAAGAGAAATGATAATAAATAAACATAAAAAAAATTGTGCCAATGACAGTTCATTGACTCTGTAGATAACTGTATGCATGTGCTGAGAATTCAGACTGTGTTGTGTAAGGTCAGATACATTATGCTAAAAATGTATATAAAGGGGAAAAGTTTAAATCTCCCTTCTTACATGTGAGGTTTTCACAAAATGAAAGAAATCATGCTTACACTGCTTCATAAATAAATTACTCTCCCCTTTCTGTAAAATTCACGTGTTACAAATAAATTTTGGGCATGGGTCACCTATAAACCTTTTGCCAACCACTTAAAAGTAAATTCAACTTTTACCTTGTGATGAAAAATGAAAATCACATTGTCATCACAGTGTATCTTTGATTGGTTTTGAATATCAGCCCAATTTAGATGATATTGAGAATCCTCCTGCAAAGGGTATTAAATTATGCTCTAAATTCTGTGGGCAGAATTCATAACCTTTCGCAGACCTTCTCCAATCTTACCATCATTACCTACAGTCAACACTGTAACACTGACATCATTTCAGGTATCTGGATTTTCAGAGGTTGCTTCATCAACAGTAGTGCTATCAGCATTATTTCCATCTCTATTCATATCACTACCAGCATTATTGCCGTCTCTTTGCACACCACTATCAGCATCATTGTTATCACTTTTCATAATGGGTTGGTTTTTGCTTTTCACCTTTTCACTGTCCTCATTATCTGTCCTTTGAGATTGGAAAATTTTCTCATTCACCTCATGAATGTTGTATTTTCTCAATTTCATAAAATCTTTAACCACACTCATGCAGCAGACATTCTACAGAGGAAATTGAAACAACAATACTCTAAATTAGTTAACCCTTTAACTCTCAAGATCTGATTGTTAATTATCCCCTCTGACTGCTACACATTCTTGAGTAAACTAGTTACGAGAATTTGGTGTTAGATTAAGATAACACCTGCTACCTGATAAGTTTGAATATTCTCATTACCTGTTTGCTGGATAGTGTGTGGATTTTATAGAGAATTTACATGTTAGTCACTCCTGGGAGATAAAGGATAACTCTGACAAAAGAGAACAGGAACAAATCTCGAATAATTCAAAGTGGATGCTGAGTGACTTCAAAACTAAAATACTATAAAAAATAAAACAATTGTAACAGTTAATGGGTACAAAAAATTTTGCTGTTCCTTCTGAAAGAAAATTCAGTTAAATGGAGAATGCTCCCTTACTGTACTGAAAGGAGCATGTGTAAAAAACCTATGTGTTTGCCCTTAACCCTTCAGCTACCATGAGTGACCAAGACAGAATTTCTCCTCACAATATCAATACAATATCAGTCAGATAAGTGATAAGAATAAAGAAAAATATAAATTTGGGGATAATTAGTTGATCTAATACTAAATTCTCTGAAATAACATTATAAGAATTGTATGGTTGACAGTAAGGAGAATTATAAATGTGATCTGGGAGTTAACATAAGTTTTCACTGATGGAATTTGAGCAAATGAATTACTAGCCACTTAGTGCTGAAGATCAATGATCTTTTTGAGCAACTAAATATGACAAAAAGAGGCATTGATTACTCAAGTAACTGTAATGAGTTTTGGCATAGTCAAAGCAGTACCTAGATGTGAACCTCACAACAAGGGTCCTGCCATTTAGGTAGGACTCTGCAAAGTCATGTAAGTGATGCCATGGCCTTGTAATTTCAAAATGCAGGCACTTAATCCTTTAACCATTTACACCCTAACATCAGTATCTATATTCTCCATACTCTTCTCTATACATTTCCTTTGGTACTGACAGGGAGAATTTGTTGAACAATCAAAGCTTCTTTGGGTGGTGATCATTTCATTTATTCTCATATCTTAATAAATGATTCAGCCATATTACTGTAAGGAGAAATTAGATACTGGTCACTCTCAGGGTTTTAAGGGTTCAACCCTAAAGAGTGACCAGCATCTAATTTCTCCTTATAGTAATACTGCTAAACCATTCATTAAGATGGGGTAATTTAGTGTTATTAACTGAGTTGATGACATAAATTGGCCAACATAAAGAGTTTGAAGGTTGACATTTCGACAGTTAGCCCTTAGTCAATCGCTCTGACGCTAATGCTCGAAATGTCAGCCTTTAAACTCTTTAAGGTGGCCAATTTACATGATCAACTCAGTTGATAACACTAAATTAACCTATATGAAAGTTCACATGGCAGCCAAGTGGACAATCAAACTTGGTTTGATGCTACTCTGGTTTAAAGGTTTAATGAATGTAACCAAGAAGTTACAATTCATAGACCCAACGTTTCGACACTCCTGTCTAGTGCCTTCATCAGGGGTGATCTAAACGCTGCAACAAGAGGTCCTTTTATACACTCACTAATTAGCTGCCTTTTTTCTGATGAGGTGTTAATAGGCGTCAGGAAGTAAGCCACCATTGTCATGAGTGTCAAAATGTTGGGTCTATGAATTGTAACTTCTTGGTTACATTCATTAATAAAATAATTAAACCAGAGTAGCATCAAACCATGACTAAATTACCCTGTTATACTCTCCTTCTGATGCAGCACCACAGTTTCCTAAGAAACTTACCCTCTTCACTCATTAAGATCAAAGCATGGAACATTTTCACTGTCAATTTGTTAATCTGTCAATGTGTTAAAAATCCAAAGTAAGTTAGTATTTTACCTTCATGATCTCCACACAGATTGCTAAGTCTGGGTTGTTCAGGTTCACAGTGTGTCCCTTCCCAGCATTCATTACTATACTTGCTAACGCAGAGATTGTGTCATCTCGGTGAATGCTACTGTTGTTTCTGGATTTGTACATCACACTGAACTGCAATTCAATAAAATCAAATTTACTTGTTTTAACACTCTATAGGGCCAAGATTCTAACAATGCATTTTGATGGATAATCAAAAACTTCTTTACTTGACAATATTACATGGCTGGCAGTGCCAGTGAGCAATCTGAAGCAAATCCTTTGCTGTGATTGGTGACTCAGCAGGCAAGCTGAACTCTAGATTTCTCACTTTTTTGATCCAGTACAAGAAATTGTGTGAAGCAGAGTTACAAAGTTTGTAACTGTTGAAAATGTCACTGATTGAGAGGCAAAGATCAGCAGAAGACAGTCAAACCTGAGAATTCATCTACAACTTTTTTGATCAATGATGCATATTTACAGAGAAGTGAAGCTCAAAATTGGGGGCATGACCAAACTGAACTCCAACAAACGTTTCTTGCATTTTAAGTGTCATGCTCAAGAACACAACACATTGTCTTGATCAGGGCTTGACTCAAGCCATACCTTTCAATCTGCATGCTACTGACTAGACCATTTTGTTGCATTGTTCACACCCATGTAATGAAAAGTATGCACAGTAAGGAGCCACAGGGGTGTACTGTTAGGGTACAGGTCTGATTGATTAAATGTAACCTGTGAAATTAACTGGGTTAATCAAAACTATAACAAAATTCTTGAATTTGATTGGTTATCAACAGTCGGATTTGAAAATTAATAGGACAGTGTGCATGTCATGCTTGTAATTGGACAGTGTAATAGGACACTTGACAGGTCATGCTTATGTATGTGGACAGTATGCATCACCTGTGTGTGCTGATGTTAGGCATTTCACTGAGTTAACTGTTGTTTTTTTATGAAAATGTGTAACTGATGTCTAGTTTCTTTCTCAAATTTTGTCATAGTTTTGGTTAATTGGTAACAGGACTTCATGTCATCCAATTCTGTCTGTAATCATACTCGTGATTAAATCAGACTCTTGCTTCAGGGCTGTCCAATTTTGTTAACCCTTTAACTCCCATGAGTGACCAACAGAATTTACTGAGCCTTGTAGGTTCTGAGTATGTTCATATCAGTGTCTGCCCTAAACTGAAAAATATGTCCTTTCTCTGATAAAAAGTCTTAGACAAAGTAATTTGCGATCAGATCTCATACAAATATCAAAATTTCTTCCCATTTTCAGGAATTTTTACTTCATGTTGTTTCTAAATTTTTTGGTGTGATCTAAAACAAGTTAGAAAACCACTCGATAATGTTTTTCTCATAATAAATATATAAACCCCATTGTAAACATTTGGATAAGACTTATGTTATGGGTTGAATCATTAATGCAAGGATGCAGAAATTCACTGATCTCATGAACCTATTCTTTTCCTACATACCGTTGATGGCTTCACATCTTCAGCAAAGAACGATGATTGGAACAATTGCTCAGCAAGTTTCTTCATTTCTTCCTTATTAGCATGACAGGAGCCAGAAATTGGCAGAAACCTTTGACAATGCCTTAACAGATCAAAATGAGGATAGTGGTGACAAATAATATCAATAACAGTAATTAAAATATGACTGAAAAATGACCTTGACAACTGAATTTGGGTGATGATGACCATGACTGCTACTATTTGAAAGTAATTATTACTGGAAAGCTCTTTGAAAATAAGCTTACAAAAAACCTCAACAAAAAGTAAGTCAAGAAAAAGTTATGTTCAAAATGTCACTTCTATAAATAAAAAAAAAACACTTCCAATAGAACATGCCATTCCATACCTGGTTTTCTTGCATCCCTTTTCTAGCATGTCATTTAAAACTGTATGGACTAAATCTGTGGGATCATTAGAATCAGGAAGGTTTGTTTTGATAAAGATAACGTTTACAGCTCCAGTCAAGACAGCCTGGAACCTTTTTTCTGTTTTAGTTTCTTGAAGTTGCTTGACTTCTTTGGCCAGAGCATCCTCAATGTCTTCAGAATCACTCTCATTAACAGAGTCATTGTCTTGCAAGCTGTGCTCAGGACCATAGAGCTTGTCTGCATACTAAACCCCAGAGAAAGACAAAACAATAAATCAGTCCATTATGATGAATTATAAGTTGAATATAGGTTCAAAGTAATTAATATGGATTATATGTTTAACCCTTTAACTCCCAGATCAAATGTTTCATTCTCCTTACTGTCAACCATACAATTCTTATAATGCTAGTTTGGAGAATAAAGTATTGGATCAAGTAATTATCCCCAAGTTGATATTTTTCTTTATTCTCATAACTTATATGGTTGATATTGTATTAACATTGTAAGGAGAAATTCTGTGTTGGCCACTTATGGGAGTTAAGGGTTAACGAGTGATTGGTAAATAGTAAAGTGAGAAAGAAAAAAAATCATCATCTTGGTTACAGAGACATTTTCTCCAAGTAACAGCTACAGGCACCAAAAATAATGAAAAAAAAATCATGATCATTGGTAGGTAGATCTTTCTGTCATATCTTGTGCATAAAAAAGTTCAACTAAAAAGTGGAAATAAATAAGACATGGGAAAAAACAGTCCTTGTTGAAAAGGAAGACTATAACCTCTGAGAAAGAACATGGGAAGCTAAGAAAATTCAATATCAAGCTCTGACGCTGGACCATGGCAAAAATGTCTTTTTTGAAAAGTCAGCCCCATATGAAGACTTGAAACATAGCTTTGATCAAAATTGTTCATAAATCCTCACTTGTCAGTAACAGAATGGCACCAACAGGTTCTTTTTACAAGCTCTCCTCCATGGGAGGAGGGGTGGGAGGGGGGTTAGCAGGCTGTCTCAGTCCTCAATAATAGGTCATTTTACAGTTGAGTACTTTATTGCCAAGCCTTTGATTTAATGTGAGGCTGAAGCTGACCTTGTTATGATAGAGACCAGTATCTAGTAAGCATGATAGAAAAGTAATTTACACTTGAAAAGTAACAACGTTTGTATCATAACAAGGTCACCCTAAGCCTCTCTCCTGTGCAAAGGCTTGACAACCAAGCACGCATATCACAATTATAAAGGCTCAGTCATATATTTTAGCAATCAAATAGCTTTTTATCGATAGTGCTGGCTTATTGCAGCTTTATCGGCTGAACATTAAGTTCTTACTTCATTAAGGACGTTGTAAGCTTCTCGTACACACAAATTCTCCCTTTCGTTACACGTGACAAGAACACCCTTCATTCCTGGAGCAAGCAGCTCTTGTCCTCTTTTCTAGAAAAATATGCAGAGAAATCAGTTTACAGCATAAGAAAGAAACTGAAAATGTACAAGCTTAGAAAAAAAAAATATATGACAAACCTTCTTCTTATTTCCGACATAAAATGCTTTAGAATGCTTTCGTTTCAAACTCGTGTTGCCGTCTGCCATTTTGATTTTCTACTGTTGGTCCTAGTACCACTCTTTTCGTTTGGGTGAGTCCCCTTTGGTGCTCATAGGGGATTGGGGAGAGGAGATAGCCGAGTGTAGACTCAAAGATATACAATATTTCTTTGTAATTTTTTTTCTTCTACATTTTAGGGTTAGGCTATCGTATGCATTCTGCCCATAGGAAAGAAAGAGCTCCAAATATGATTTGTAATGCAAGGTATCTTAATATAGGAATGGTCAAACTGTATGATTTCAGATACTTGAGTATTTTGTAGAGCCGTAATGCTTCAATTATAGATGTCCAATTAGAACTGCAGTTACAAACGTAGACAATCCAGAAATAGCTGTAAAATCCCTTCGCTTGTTAACCATAACCGGTGGTTGTTTGATATGTCTGTTACAAATGAACCGAAAGACGAAATCGTACAGTTCGTGTTTTTCAAGACTGCCGGTGATATTCCGGTAGATTTGTTTCAGCAATCTTGGATTGCAGCAGCTGAAGAGTTTTACGCTCGTGGCGTTAGTAAAGTGATCTTCTCTGAGAAACTAGCGCTAAATGGAGATTTAAGTCCTTATAGATTTATTTCAAAGAATTTCTGGGCATCACTGGAGGCATTCAACTGTTCGTTTCCCAAAGGGTTGCCATCCCCGAGTAGTAGAGGACATGTAACTGTCTCACAGGTATCGCTTATGAATAATTACTCTATTACCTATAAGAACCAAAAATGGAGAAATGGAAAGTTCATTGAAAACCAACTGTCGTAATTATTTCTCTAATGTTACAGGCTGGAATATTCAAGCTGGAACATATGGTTAAGGCAGATGGTTCCAAGGTTTTACTTGATTCCATCTACAAAGCTGGTTTTAAAGTTATGACAATGATTCCTCTCTGTGACCAGTCTTTGCCGAAAGAAACTGTTTTAGAATATGCTGATTTTCTTGTCAGCTTGAAAGGTTTTGAGACTCTAGGTGTCTATGGGCTCAACAGAAGTTCTGATCCACACAAAGAATGGCTGTATGAATGGATTATTGAAGCCATTTTCAATTCTATTAACACTACTCCAGAATCAGTCCTCAAGGATTTGATGAACTGTCCAAAGGCAAATGCAAAATGGGAGAAAAGCATTCACGAGAATTACATGCAGATGGTTGCATCTTGAGTACATGTAAAACTTGCTTCTTGAAAAAACAATTTTCCAAGTGCCAATAAACCTTATTGCCTGTTTAAAAAATTAATTTCTGACAAGTTTTATTTCTGTGGAATCAAGCTTTATCTTACTGAGACAATGCTGGTTGAATTTGAAAATGCATTTTTATTCCTTCCAATGGTTGGATTTACTTTCCATGTATGAATTGTCTACCTGAAATGTAGACTTTTTTAAAACACTCCTCAAAGTTGATAAATTTGATAAATGCTGACCAAGCGTTCTTCAGTGGTGAAAAAATTTTCTGAGAACAGACATTTTCGTGAAATTTGACGTAAGTGGCTTCGGGTTTATTGTGCGCAAGCCCAACATATCAAACTTATCTCCCACTAACGTGAACATTTGCTTAAATTTGTGTCCAGTCTAGCGCAGCCAAAATTTTTCGGTATTGCGCAAGCGCAAGAGGTTAGATGGCGGCGATGGCGGCAGTGAGAGTTAAGAGGGAGATCATAGCACCAGAACGATACCCGGAAGAAGTCTTTTCATCGAAGCTTTGCCGAAAAAAGACAAGAGTAAAAACAACCGACCGTAAACTATATCCTGTGGTTGTAACAGACGTGGACAAGGTCGGAAAGCGAATCTGAAGACAACAATCTTTTCCAGCGGATGGAACTTCTTTCCAGTCCGTCTTCTTCTTCGCTTGACGATCGCATGGAATTGATTCACGGGGAGCTATATCGTGAAATAAAAAGGAAGCTATATTCTGGCAGGAAGGATGATCCGTCCACTCGTGTTGAAGTTCGAATTGATCAAGATGTATTTAATGGAGGACTGGCATTGGCGGGAAAAGCAAAGACAGAGCGTGGCAAGGTCGTGCACAGTATTGATTCTAATCAGACATTAAACCATTTGCTTGGACTCAAATGGGATGAACGTATTTTTAACGAAAATGATGACTTTGCATTTGTTATTGAAGGAACTGTGCGTTTCTGGTTGGCTAGAAGGAATCCCATTCAAGAATTCAAGGTAATAGGGGGAAAGTACATCAAATCTGAAATAGAGGACAACTTTTATTTAGCATTTACATTTGTTAGAGGAGATGGAAACAGGCATAATTATGCTACGAGGAACTGACTTGTTTTTATCCATAATCTCACTTTATAGTTTATATATTTTTTTAATCATTCTGCAGATAACAATATAAACAATGTCATAATTAATTAATATAAACTGTATTGATACTAAGGGAAAGTGTTATGAGTACCAAATTGTGAGTAAAGCAGGCTTCAGTTTTTATTCTGGCCCTGGATAGTCCCAAAATGTTTTCATCTTCTGCTTCACTGCAACGAAATTATTTTTCCATTATTTTATATCTCATGAAACTTGTTTTAAAACGCCGTTTTTGTGGAATCATGGAGGTTGTGATTTTGTTTTCTGTAATCTATAAATAAACAACAGCCTCAAATTGTAACTTTGCACTGTGATACATCTAGGTAACCAGAGAATCAATGTTTCTCTACCATTTAAAATGTATCTCTATGAAGCACCAGAACAACATTTTGGGACCCATTTACCTTCACACTTAACAAGGTGTGCACAACAGGTACGGTGATCACAATGTTTACATTGCTTGGTGCAGGTCTTGATTGTATGACCTGGACGGGAACAGTTACTGCATTTGTAATTCTGTTTCACCCTCTCGTACCCAGCTGCTTCCAAAAATTGAATTCTGTATTTCTTTAAGAGAAGCTGTCGCAAAGCAGAAATTCCTCTGTGGTTAGAGGATCTAAAGTAATTCTTAGAAGCTACATCATTATATTTCTCCATACCCTGCTGATTAAAATATGCAATGTTTTTATACAACTTTAAAAACTCAGGAACATGAAAATATAGGGCATGCATATATGGTGTGATGTCTTAAACCACCCCTCAATTTTTTCTTTAAGGTGATCAATTGACTGATCTGTTGGAAAATCAAGTTTTAAATCACCAATGATGTCCATGAACCAACCCCATAGTAACTGAAGCTTTTCTGAATTGTTGTAACCAGGCAAAAGAGAAGAGAACTGAATATTTTGCATGACCTTTAGTTTTTCAGGACCTGTGAGATCTCTATAGTCCAGTTTTTTTGTGTCTTTGTTTATTCTCCACTCAAAAGAAATGCCAAGAGTTTTGAGAAACGTTTCATATGCTGCCATATGTTTAAATTTCTCTCGAGAAAAACCATTGTGAAATGTTGTTATCTTCTCACAAGCATCCTTTCTCCTTAATTCCCTGATTAAAAGTTCTGTTAAATTATCTGATATGCGGAGAAATAAATGTAAGGTATCAATAATGACATGATCAAATGGTATGAAATTAAATAATGGAGTTGCTTTGCAATTAAACTTTTTTGATTTGGCAAAGCTTGAAATTTCCTACAGTGATCTGGCACCCTGAGCACTGTTAGAAAGTGACCATACCCTTTGGATGTCAAGTCTCTGGTTGCGAGGGCATTTGCACCAGATACAGGCGTAGTCTTGGCTAGCAGCCCCCAACCCACAGACACATGCCAGGAACTTCCAATCCCCACCGAGAAAGTATTCAATATTATAGGTTTTACCCTCAACTGTTACCTTATTTAATTTCAACATTTCTTGTGTTAAATCAGACAGACTTTCCTTCAGATTGTCATAGTTTTCACTTGTCTTGAGTATAGCCAGAACATAATATTGCCCTTCTCACTCATTGCAGCCTCTTTCTCATTTAAAATTGTATATGTTACATTTACTAGCTTAAGTCTTTTTCCAATGTTTGTGCCATCTCCACTTATCTTCACCCCAATGGTATCTCCTTCTAAATCTCCCTTCCTTTGTAAGTTGGCAATTTGTTCCCCGAGGCTTTCTTTGAAGCTGATTTGCACCCCTTCTGCTTGACCAGGGGTATCTCTTATTTTCCATTGCTGGTTTAATTCATTTATCTTTCGAGTTGTCTTGTAAGTATTTGGTATTGTTTTAGATCTCAATGCCATTTCATGTCATGCATCATTGGAAATATTAAATTTGTCCTTGATGTAAATCCAGTAGTTGATGTCATCAGCCTGGGTGTCAGTTATTTCATTTCCCTCAGTGTCCGATTGTTGCATTTGTTCCTCATCGATTAAGTTAAAAGTGTCATACTGTTCTGTGTCAGTGTTAAACACTTCAACTTTGGTGGCCATAAAATTGTACAATCCAAGGAAAGTAAGAGTGGCCTGACATTCCTCTTTCATTTTATTTTTAATCCTGTTTTGGTGCTGCTTTGAATACTCAGCGAATGACTTTTTTTCAGGGCCTCTAATTCCTTTCTTGTTCTTCTTCTCAACTTTTTTAACAAGACTTTGAAACCTTTTTTTCAGATAATTGCAGCTCCTCTCTGTGTCGCCGAGTTTTTTCTCGAGTTTCTGTCGCTTAGTTGTTTCATTCGCCAAAGATTCTTCCAGTGTTCGTTTCTTCCCTCGTAAATCCTGATTCTCCTTTTCGATAACGTATTTGTCAAGTTCGTGATAAAATATCTTCACCTCATAAGTTTGGTCACGCCATTTGTTTATGATTCTTTTGACACCGAAACCTCCACTTTTCTTCTTGACTCTTTTGAGTTCGGCACACAGAGACCCAATCTTTTTTCGAACGACATTTATTATTCTGTTGTTCACAACAACACCGCGAATGCCCGTTTCTTGAAAGATCTTCTCCACGATTGCAGCGAAGGCAGACTCGCCACTACCCTCTTCATTCTCTTTGGCAATTGTGTAGAGGAAATGGCTGAAAGTTGGATAAAAACGACTGGGATAAGATATATGCGAGACTATTAGCAATGAAAATTTAATTCATTAGTTGGTGTCCGGAAAAAATGGAGACAGTTAATTTTTAAGTTCTTATTAATAACTTACTTGTTAATACTGCATGTTAAGAAAGGTGGCGGATGGCCCGCAAATCCATTATTTTGATCTTCCGATCCATCTCCCACAGCCTTCACGGATCCGCAGAAAGCGAATAATAGGAACACCAGAAGTCCTCCAACTTTAACGGAGATTTGACCCATCCAAAATACTCGAAAACAAGCCGAATTATATACCAAAATAAAGGAAATTTTCCGATCTGTTCGAATTTGGCGATAAAATCGAGATCCGAGCATGCGTAGAAGAGTACGGACCCATTGTTTTCACACCGGCGTGAAATGGCCTTTGATCGTCTTTAAATATTGCGCAAACTTGATTTGAAAACTTGGATTTTGACCCATTAAATCTTAAGATTTTGGTATTTGAAAACGTCTTATACAATAGCTTTAATATTCATTTTTTTTAATTCGTTGGTAAAACTGATCGCCGTTAAAATGTTTTTGAGTAATCTTGTAAAATGTTTCAAATCTTAGGCGTTCTTGAGTCAGACATTGGTGGGGGCGTGATCGCCGGAACTTGATATAAGCTTTTGTTTACACTGAGTTTGATATGATGCATTTCTTGCTGGTAATCATTGTAGTGTGAACAGAAAACATTTAATTCGTTTCGTAGTGAGCTATTTTTTTACCTTTTTACACCCAACCAATGTCTTCATAGGTTCAGATTTCGTCATTAACACACTGACTCACTATGTTTTCCGTAAGCGGCTGCTGGTGGTGAAGTAGGCGGCTGTGACCGGAAAAGGCCCCTTCCTCGAGGAAGGTCTGATGATCGTAAGTTCATCGGGTCCAAGGATCAGTGGATCGATCGCCCCTGTTAACACGTCCTTTGATGACTATACAGGCTGATCCTTGATCTTGCACGCTCTGCCTCACTTGTGCATGGAATCCTTGGACAGAGGGGGAGGGGGGGATGAAACTCTGGGCATTCTTAACAGAAGGCGGCAAGAGATCCTATAGCGAGCTAAGATTCTAGGCTAAACTTTGAATAAAGCTTTTTTAGAATCACTGAACCAGTTACCGTATAATTGTATAAGATCGCCGGGCACGCCGCGACTAAAAGTCGAAGAGGCCGCTCCACGTCGAAAGAAGTGACCCCGGAAACGATCGACATGCGAAATACCTATTTCGGAAAAACACGTTCGAAAATGTGAAACAAAACTAGTAAGAGGCACCACACGTACGGGACCCGGTAAAAGAAAAACCGGACAGGAGCGGTGAGCGGCTTCTCTTATGCAGTAAATCTAGAAATGGATAACTCGCTAAAATGGCTTCTTTTCAACATAGTAAGCGGTCAGACAACAAGCGATGCACTGTACGTGGAAGTAAAGTGAGGTATTTTCATTGAGAATTTGACTGTATTTTTTTATTCCTAAGAGCGGTCGTAAATATTCTCATACAAACTGGTACAATTTCGCCATGATTCTTACTTCGTAGGATGATCATTTCACTACTAAAGCTTGGGGCGCCTGTGGAAGAACGATGTAACTGCTGCCATTTGGGTGGTTTCTTAGGCAAGACTGCAGTTTCGATTCTTTCTGAATATATTTAGTCAGTTGCCTCCAAAGAGCGAATTCGTCACGGAGGAATGACAAGAGTCGCACAGGCTCGTAAACATTTTTGAACTTTCGAAAGAACGGCAACAGACAATGAATCCACATTACATTCCACGTTTATTCAAGCTATCTCGCTGCCATCAAAGATGTTCACTCGACTGCGCCAGGATGCAAATGACTCACTTTTTGTGTTACGACCATGATGCAAAGTAATCAGATTGCGCACACCGCCTGGGAGATACTTGTTGGGGAGACACTGCCTAGCCTAACGTAATTTTGAGTTTTCGTCTCCTAAGGAAGACGAAAATATGGCAACATTTGCTTCACTACGCGGATTACACTACGTCAAAAGTTATAATGTATTTCTTGCGAAAACTGGACAAAGAAGCGAAGTTGGGAAGCTTTTGAAAGAACATTTACCGCCCTCGATTCAGAGGTCGCTTGCTGTGCGCCGTAACCAACTCGCTGCCACCAAAGATGTTCACTCGACCGCGCCAGGATGCAAATGACTCACTTTTTGTCTTACGACCATGATGCAACGCGATCAGAGTGCACACACCGCCTGGGAAATACCTGTGGGGCAGACACTGTCTAGTCGCCAATCCAAATGTTATTTTGAGTTTTGGTTCTCTGACGAAGACGACAATATGACAGCATTTGCTTTACTATGCGGAATGCACTATGTCAAAAGTCATAATGTTTTTCTGGCGAAAACTGGACAAAGAAGCAAAGTTAGGAAGCTTTTAAAAGAACATTTACCGCCCATGGTTCAGAGGTCGCTTGCTGTGCGCCGTAACAAACCTTATTTCAATATTTTAAGTGTAGGAAGTGGATCAGGGGAAACAGATGTGGAAATCTTAAAAATAGTGAAGAAAGAGTTACAAAAAAGCGAGCGTAACCGTCACATGAAGATCCTCAACCGAGCAATCGAGCCCAACAAACATTCGTGCGATCTCTACATGGCGACCATTGAAAGCTTGCCAAGCAGTCTTCCCGATGAAAACCCTATAGAAATTGAACTTTGTCGGCAGACATTTCAAGACTACAAGAAGATGAAGTGCAGCCATCAGCAGGAATTAGTAAAGTTTGACTTGGTGCATTTCATCCACAGTATCTATCATATCGAAGTTGAAGAGGCTCTGCTTCATTTTTTTGAGAAAGAGTTGAACGACACGGGAATCTTACTGTTCATCGTCTCCTCAGGGCAAGACCTTATGGACAAGGTTACGTTGAAGCAAAGCAAGCACTGGGCTGGAGAAGAAAAACCCATCGAAAAAATTATCAAAATTGCTTGTGATAATGGCTGGAAACATGACGTGTACACGGAAGAATATTCCATCGACGTCACCGAAGTGTTTGATGAGAAATCAACAGAAGGAAATCTACTCCTTGATTTCCTGACACACACTGAGCATTTTCGTGAGAAAGCAGACAAAAAACTTGTGGAAGAAACGCTTGAACTAATCAAGGATCTGACCATTTTGAAAGATGGGAAAAGACTTGGAGAGATAAAGGAATTGCTCATTATCATTTCTAAGTAGCTCTGAGTAATTCGTTTTCAATGCAGTTCATTTAGCCGAGAAGGAATGTAATCAGTTAAGGTCATGATAAGCCGCATTTAATGCTTTAGGTAAAATGACAGATGATAGCCCAGAATTTTCTACTGACTCAAATGTTTTGCAAGATCGGACCCTCGGGAAGCAAAGGGTGGTAGAGTTTTTTTCGCCCTCGAAGTCCTTTACCTGCATAGTCTCAGTAACTACTTTGGCCACTGATGCTACTGATCAGTAGAGTTTTAAATGGATCATACTAATTAATTTGAGCGGTTTTTAGACTAGTTATTTTTACGTTAAGAGAAATTAGATGCCAGTCACTCTTAGGAGCCAAACATTGGTTGAACTCTTCAGCCAAAATATCAGTGTTTCTAGAGTATCGAACTTCTCGGCTTTCCTTACGCGGCAGCGCTCTATGTATTGTCTTCTAGATAGATAATGAGTTGTCCTTAATGCTCCTTATAGCTCTGATCTCTCAAGGAAAGTGTGCACGGGGTCACCGCTTATAAATTTTAGAGGGCCCACGCATACCAACAGTTTCGATCAGTTTTCTTTTCATGCCTTTTATATTTTTCAGTGATCATAGTTGAAATAGCAATACTGTGCATGCCGATTTTTTTTTAATGCCAGGATAAACTAGTGAAAATAACTCCGCAGTTGGAAACTAAAGCCTAGTAACAGGGGCCCATACCAGCTTTATGAATCCCGTATTTACGCTAAGTGGATGACACGAAAAAAAGTTCGTGTATCAGGTGTCTGTCTCGTTGTAATGCGTTGAATAAATAACTCGCGTCTAGGAATGTATTTTCTGAATTTGCTATTATTCAAACAAGCATTGGCTGTGAATGTAACTGCTGCCATTTGTGTAGATTCTTAGGCTAGACTGCAGTTTCGATTCTTTCTGAATCTCGTCAGTTGCCTCCTTTTCCACATTACATTCCACGTGAATCAATTGTCTTCTAGATAGATAATGAGTTGTCAGTTTCGATCTCTCAAGTGTGCACGGGGTTTATAAATTTTAGAGGTCTTTTCATGCCTTTTATATTTTTCAGTGATCATAGTTGAAATAGCAATACTGTGCATGCCGATTTTTTTTTTAATGCCAGGATAAACTAGTGAAAATAACTTTGTGCAACCGTGGGTTTACTGAAAAAATCAGGTCAAGCGTCACGGATATAAGAGGGAAAATTTTCTTATCTCTCGTCTTGTGTGCAAGGTTACAGGGAAATCTTGCGGTTATCACACTATAAAAGAAATTCAGGGTTCAAGTATACTTCAGGATATCAAATCTCGCCTCACTCAGTTTCTCAAATTCACGAATAACATTCACCTTTCAGTAAAATTCACGCGTCACATTTTAACTTTGGCTTTCATCACAGGTCACGTATAAACCCTAAACCCTTAAACTCTCCGAAGTGATTAACATAGAACTACTCCCCACAATATTCATACATTATTCAACAAACTGGTAATGAGAATATTCAAACTTATCTGGTAGAAGCTGCTATCTTGATCTAGCACCAAGTTCTCATAACTAATTTACAAGGAAATGTGTAGCAGCTACAGGGGAGAATTGACGATCAGATCTTGGGAGTTCAAGGGTTAAAGATGCACTAGTATATTCATACCTTAAGTTTACTCTTAGGAGGTGATTCTCCAGAGGATTCAGCCAAGGAATGTGATGGCTCTTGCATAATCGGCACCGATTATTTTTGGAAAAATGTCAACTCTTGTTCCTGTTCTGTAGAGATACGCAACTCCTGATTGTATTATTTTAATGCACCATACTTTCAATACTTCTATTCCTCTTATCGTCCGGAGGCATCTTACGTACGAAGTATATGACGGACGCAAATCAGATAGGAGTCGATTTAAAGGCTAACTTTTTTCAAAGCTGACAGATCTATCAATCACGAACTCGTGTCTACTCATTATTGCTTTTCTTGTGATAAAATTTAGAGAGCAATTAGAGCGGCGAAGAGGAAGTCGCCGCCAAAAAAATTTGCGTCTGAGGTTTTCTCACCTTCATGTCAATTAAGAAGTTGACATTTTCCAATTTACCTTTTTTTTACCCTACTGAGGAAACTGATTAATTTTTTTTCGTCGCGCCGGGCTTTAACTACATTGGCGATACATTAGACATGCACTTAATTAAATTTAATCATAAAACTAAAGAGCCGCGACGCCGGCGGTTTTGAAAAGCTCCGATTTCGCTTAATCGAAACTGACTCTCTCAGGCTTAGCGCGCACGGTAGCGTTGTGAAAGACATGAAGTCTCCATTGATGTGCACTCTATACCTAATCGGCGCAAAAGGGATTAGTATTTCGATTAGAACTCGTAAGCTGTGCACTGTGCAGTTTCACCTATGAGGGACAAAAGTCCTTTCAACCTATTGTTTTACAAACCGCCCACATCCGTTCATTGCTCTGAGCATTAGCGAGCAGCAGCACTATTCTTGACTTTCCGTGTGGGGCCTCACTTCTATATATATGCGTTCAACACTCAAGCTGTTCCAGCCATCAAGTCCTCGAGAGCAGCAGGTAAGTTTTTATCGCTCTTCTTGAACTGAGCTATCATGTCAAATGCAATTCAATCAATCGCTGGAACTATTCATAAAGGTCACGAACGATTTAGTGACATTTCCAGGGGAAGACAATCCTCTTTTATGACTTTTCAGCGCTGTTGTGTGCACAATCATGTCTAGTGCGGCACTGGGATACTGCTACAGTTGACCAAACTTTAGTCGAAGGAGACAGGATGTACTTGAATGCACTTGAAAGTCAAAATATTCCAGATACAGAGACGTTCTCCCTGATTTATCTGCCAATTCAAGCGTGCTGGAAGGTTCAATCGCCCACTGAAGTCACTGAAGTCACTAAATCGCCTGAGGAAGCAAACTGTTCGACACAATCGCTCTTTGAGGCAAACAATTTAAGACAATCGCCCGTTGAGGCAAACGTTTCGACACAGTCGCACACAATCCACGACAGCTTTTTTCAATAAAGTTTCTTAAAGTTGCCCAAAATGAAAGCATTGTTAATTCTTGTATAAACCTGAGCTATAGAACAGCTGTCAAACTACAGTGTTCCGTTCTTAATTGATTTCCCTCCAAGGATGACTAATGAAGTGGATAAATATAGATTAACAGATTATGTGGGAAATCGCCTTGACATTTCTTACATCTTATTAATAGTTCATTTTAAGTTACCCATTCAATTACAAGAGAATTACCCACTTATTGAGGAGTCATGCAATAATTTATAAAAAACAGTTTATGACAGATATTTCAAATTACCTTCGTATCACTTAAACCCAGTAAGTCATTAAGTTCACATTACTTGTTCGGTTACAAGAGAGTTATCCATTTGTTTATTTATTATGTAACAAATCAAATACAGGTTTTATACGCAGCTACTGTTGCTCTTAAGTTCAGATTTTGTTATGAACGCACTATGACTCGATAGACAGCTGTGATTTTCTCTCCTTGTCACCTGTCCATATAGTTTTCTACGTTTTTCGCCTTGTTGTGACACATGTCTACTTAACAGCGCATTGGATGAACAAGCGAATTATTGCTCTTCAAATTCGTTGATTTTTTTCGAACTTTTAAGTCGATCTGCTGGTGATAATGGCTGGAAACATGACGTATACACGGAAAACATTCTATCGATGTCACCGAAGTGTTTGATGAGAAATCAACAGAAAGAAGTCAGCTCCTTGATTTCCAGACACACACCGCGCATTTTCGTGAGAAAGCAGACAAAAAACTTGTGGAAGAAACGCTTGAACTAATCAAGGATCTGACCATTTTGAAAGATGGGAAAAGACTTGGAGAGAAAAAGGAATTGCTCATTATCATTTCTAAGTAGCTTTCATTAGGTGATCTCACATCCTGTTTCCTAAGCCGAGGATGAATGTGAACCCTTGAGGCCATAATAAACCGCAATGTTTAAGATAATGACAGTAGCTCAGAATTTTTAACTTTTTTTCAAATGTTTTACAATATTTAACGTTTAGGGAACAAAAGTTATCCTTATTCTGTAGAGTCCTTCTCATTGTGGAGCTCGTAGCGTGTGCAAAGCGCGCGCAGCGAAGCACCATAAAAATTGTAGTGGTCCTCGCAGCCGAGAAATAAAGATTAATTCATGGGTGCGGGTAGATATGGAATTTCTCTTCGAGTGTTTAACTCGACAGCTGACGAGTGAGATTCCGAGTTGAACACGAGAAGAGAAATTTCATATCTAAAAGCAACCATGTATTATTTGGTGTATCATTTAAACACAATAGCCCTTTACCTGGCAAGAAAAATCAGCTTTATTAATGAATGGAAATAAAAGAATCGACAATCCCCGAATAAAGATCGTAAAGTGCGTTAGCGCTAAGGCTCAAGATGAAAAATTGCGTTGAAACACTACTAAAACAAACAATGGGCGTAATTTTCAATGTACAAAATTCTCGGTTTTTAATTTGTTCCTTACCGACAGAAGAAATCTTTCAGGTACACGGCTAAAATTGGCTTGTGGCAAACCTTCCAGATGTACATTTTCGTTCTAAGCCGCCGTTACCAAAGCCACTGAATACGTAACTTTCGGTTTTTCTTCCCATTCTAGGAAAGTTTCAGCCTCACTGCCTGTAAGCGATAGGGATTTTTCAGTGTTTTAGAGGCCATAATCCGAAAAAAAATTCCCGGCGACAAACGACCTTACATTGACTGGTGAGGGCTTTGCCGTTCATTCATTAACCTGACCGAGTCGCGCGATAGGCGAGTGACGTATCAGCAGCTGACACGTTTTTTCTCGTGCTTTGTTACGGCTTTTCTCAGGGTTGGAAATCCTTCCATAACACTGTAGTTTATATGACAAAATATGTTCCATCATGCAACCGTACGACCGACCGACCGACCGTCCTTATGGGTACTACTTTTAGCATGCACTAACAACTGCATTTTCGGCACAAATCTTGGCATTACATGAGTAGAAGGGGAAAGGAGAAGGTATTACGCCTACGTGCCAGCATCAAAATGACAACTCTTCATGTAGTAACCCAGGCAAGTTTTTCTCTCGTGAGGTGCTGTTAAGCTGACTTAGTAGATATAGGGATTTGAAAAGGAAAAAAGAACTACATAACGTAAATAACCCTAGTTATACAAACGCATGATTTTAAAACGAGTAATTTGTTTCAAAGCGCAATATTCTTTATTTTATGTCTAATGCCCCCAACAGAAGCCCATTGGCCCAATAATTTCTATTGCGAATGTCGAACTACCAAGATACTCTGAAACAAACAATAATCGGGTCGAATTCGGAAGTTTGGAATTTTATTGTTACAATCACTCTTACATCTCGATAACGTAGTGGCTTTACATCCAGAACGCCGATGCAATAACGTTAATTTGTTAAATCAAGTTAAAACTACGAAAGGTTGCATCGGGTTTTCTAATTAAATTCACATTTTCGATGATTACTTTTCATACTGTCCGACTATTATCTCATTCTCTTGGGTACCAGTCATTACTTATCGCGTTGGGGGAAGGGACGGGGTTTGCGGATGATTTTCGTTGGGAAGATCACATGGTTTTCAGGGGGGATGGAAAGGGATCAGTCATCCCAAATAGAGAATAAACTAGGGACTATAAAAAATTGCCTGCCAATTATCAATTAACTGCCAAAGTAGCAGGGGGAAGTCATAAAAAACTCATAGGGCCTTTTTGATGGGAGTCAGGTATATTCATTCTTAACATAACTAAATTCCTCCAGACCTCCCCCCCCCCCGTTCCCCTTGATTTACAAGAGTTAGTTCATCAGCATTGTTACCATTCGACAGGTGACAAGGAGAGAAAATCACAGCTGTCTATCGAGTCATAGTGTGTTCATAACGAAATCTGAACTTAAGAGCAACATTAACTGCGTATAAAAAAAAATTCCTCCCCCCCCCCCCAAAAAAAAGCGATAAATGATAACCGGTTCCTCTTACTGCTACAAACAATAAAAAATATTCCTTTTGTAAACAATTTGCGAGTTACCTTGATAATTGAACATAACTTTCCCAGGACAGCATGAGTTAAAAACACAACCTGGTATGTTCTACTTGGTCATCTTTGCCTTAGGCAGTGTTCACACTTGGTGCCCGGGCACTAGTACCAGGGCACCGGCACAAAATGGTGCTGTGTTTAGACACACGGTACCCAGTCTGAAGATATGTTCACATTCAATAAACAGCCATTTTGAAATCTCGAGTGGGACAAGGAATTGTGGGTACGAAAACAAGTGGTTTGTGGGTAAAGTGCCAGGGTACCAACGAAAAATGTGTTCACACAAGGACTCAATACCCGAACAAGGTCGAGACCTTCGGGCTTTCTGGCGTGGGTACCAGGAAAAACACATTGGTGCCCGGCGTAGAATTAACTGCCTTAGTCACCTATTTCCTTCCTGCTACAAACAATACAAAATATTCCTTTTGTAAACAATTTGCGAGTTAACTTGATTATTGAACATAACTTTCCCAGGACAACATAAGTTAAAAACACAACGTTGTATGTTCTGTTTGGTCATCTTTGCCTTAGTCACCTATTTCCATTAAAATTTTTTCATGCGTAAAACAATGACATTTGCCAAAACAACAAACATTCGCGTTCTACAAGTTAAGATATTTCCACGAAGTCACGCACAAGTCGACTGAAATAATCCGATTCCCCCCCTCCCCCCTTCTCCGACACTGGACAGGACGGGAAATCAATGGGGTAATGCGGGCATTGACAGGGATAATTTTACAGGGATACAAAGAATATTTAAGTGGCAGCAGATCTTAAAAAAAAAAGTATGTACCTCTAATACACAGAGAAAAAATCTGACTTAATGCTGCGTAAATGCGTACCGACGTGTGTGAGAGAATCAGCCAAAAGCAAATCTGCTAGGCAAGCAGATTTGAGGCAACTTGCGTATAACACGGTAAACTGTTCTACTTCATGTGTTTATCATAGTGATTATAGTGGCCAAAGAGCTGGAAAGCACTGTTCAGTTCCTCCTGGAAAATCCAGCGAGTGAATGTTTCATCGAAATCAGAAGAATATGGTTGCTATTCAGAGTGCAGTCTTTCATGTTTTCGTAGACTTCCCTTTCGAGTAAAACACCTCTCACACGTTTTGCACTGGTATGGCTTCTCTCCTGTGTACGATCTTTCATGAGTTTGTGTATCAGTATTATTGGTACACAACTTGTCACGAGATTCACACTGATTTGGCTTCTCTCCTACGTGGGTTCTTTTGTGTATCAGTAGACTTGCCTTTTGCGTAAACCACTTGTCACATGTTTTGCACTGGTATGGCTTCTCTCCAGTGTGGCATCTTTCATGTACTGTTAGGTTTCCTTTTCGAGTGAACCACTTGTCACAAGCTTTGCACTGGTATGGCTTCTCTCCAGTGTGGGATCTTTCATGTACTCTCAGAGTTGTTTTATGACTAAACCACATGTCACATGTTTTGCACTGGAATGGCTTCTCTCCAGTGTGGGATCTTTCATGTACTGTTAGATTTCCTTTTTGAGCAAACCTCTTGTCACAAGTTTTGCACTGGTATGGCTTCTCTCCAGTGTGGGATCTTTCATGCACCTGTACGTCGCTTTTTTGAGCAAACCACTTGTCACATGTTTTGCACTGGAATGGCTTCTCTCCAGTGTGGGATCTTTCATGTACTGTTAGATTTCCTTTTCGTGAAAACCACTTGTCACAAGTTTTGCACTGGTATGGCTTCTCTCCCGTGTGGGATCTTTCATGCACCTGTAGGTTTCTCTTTTGAGCAAACCACTTGTCACAAGTTTTGCACTGGTATGGCTTCTCTCCAGTGTGAGTTCTTTCATGGACTTGAAGATTTCCGTTTCGAGCAAAACGCCTGTCACACGTTTTACACTTGTATGGCTTCACTCCAGTGTGTGATCTTTCATGTAATTTTAGAATTTCTTTTCGAGTAAAACACTTGTCACAATTTTTACACTGGTGTGGCTTCTCTCCAGTGTGGAATCTCTCATGGACTCGTAAATCTCTTCTTAGATTAAACGACTTATCACATGTTTTGCACTGGTATGGCTTCTCTCCTGTGTGGGTTCTTTCATGTACTGTTAGATTTCCTTTATGAGCAAACCGCTTGTCACAAGAGTTGCACTGGTATGGCTTCTCTCCAGAGTGGGTTCTTTCGTGTACTCGTAGATTTCCTTTTAGTGTAAACCACTTGTCACATGTTTTGCACTGGTATGGCTTTTCTCCAGTGTGGAATCTCTCATGTGCTTCTAGATTTCCTTTCTGAGTAAACCTCTTGTCACAAGATTTGCACTGGTATGGCTTCACTACAGTGTGGTTTTTCTCATGGACTTGTAGATCTCTTTTTTGAATCAACCATTTGTCACAAGTTTTGCAGTGGTATGGTCTCTCTCCAGTGTGGCATCTTTCATGTACTTGTGGATGTTCCTTTTGTGTAAAACACTTGTCACATGTTTTGCATTCAGATGCCTTTTCCACACACCAGTTACCTTCAGGTTTTGTAGATCCGTTGTACATGTCTTTCCACTTTCTGTGTACCTTGTCAGTAATGGACCAATTATTTTTTGTATCTGCAATGTAAGCATCAACTGGAAAACACTCATTGACAGCAAAAGGTACCTACAATGCTAAAGGAAAAGAAAAACATTTATTCAACCAAAGGGGCAAATTTCACAAGGTTTTGCCTTTGAAATGAAATAGGAGTGGATAAAGTTTGAATAGGCAGAAAAATTGGGCAGCATGTTGTGCTAAATTTACTTCAATACTTTTATGGGACAGAAACTTTTATTATATCAATTGCCATGAACAAAGGTAGTCACAGACGTATAATTGCTGGCCAGTGCCCAAAAGGGCAAAACCCTTATTTAAGTTGGCCCCTACAGAGAAAAGTGCATCAAGAACAAGTCCTTTGACACAGCCTTGCGCACTTACATTGTGTTGGTGATACCAAAAAAAATTTGTATTAATAAACAGCTTTTTGCCTAGTAGAGGTTAGCCCTTTTTCTACAATTATGTGTTAAATCTCATCAATGGAACATGGAGATACAGTATTCCAACTGTATAATTTTGCCTGTTCTTCCATTTGAGAAGACAAATCCTCACTATTCTCAAAGCACATTCTTTAACCCTTTACCTCCCAGATCAAATTTTTAATTCTCCTTACTGTTAATCATACAATTCTTACAAAGCTAGTTCTGAGAATTTAGTAGTGCATCAACCAATTAACTCCAAATTGATATATTTATTTATTCTCATCACTTACCTGGTTGATATTATATTGATATTGTATGGAGAAATTCTGTCTTGGTCACTCATGGGAGTTGAAGGGTTAAAATACATTTTCCCAACATAATAATCATAGAAACTGATATCATAGCTCAAATTATGTCTCTTTGTCTACATT